GTAAATTGCATAAATTTTACACTCCACAACATCGTCCATCTGAGCAACATATTGGTCGAATTATTGCCAAATTTGAGTCCACTGGATCAGTAGAAGACGTAAAAACAACAACACGCTGTCGTCCAGCCAGATCATAGGAGAATATTGATGCTGTCAGTGAGAATGTTGCCGATGACCCAAACACATCGATTCCACGCCGTTCTCAACAATTGGTTATCTCTAAAACATCATTATGGCATATTTTGCAAAAAGATTTGTCTTTAAAAGCATATAAAGTTCAACAGGACGGAGCTACGTGCTATACAGCCCGAGAAACATTGGATTTACTGAATCAGACCTTTCCGCAGCGCATAATTTCTAGAAACAGTGATGTCAATTGGCTACCCAGATCATGTGATTTGATGCCCCTGGATTATTTTCTTTGGGGCTACGTTAAAGAGCAGGTCTATAAGAATAATCCCACAACGATTCCGGAATTGAAAGATGAAATTTGTCATGTCATCGGTGAGATAGAGCCCACAATGTGTGAAAATGTGATTAAAAATTTTGACAAAAGAATCGTGGTCTGCAAAACATTACGAGGCGGTCATTTGTCCGATATCCTTGTGCACACATAAACTTACTACTTCCTACTTTACAAATAAAAAAAAAATTAATTTGATTCCAATGATAATTGTGTGTTTTATTTAACTTTAGTTTCGAACACTCTTGTTGAAAAACCCTGTATATATAATTGTAGTTTTTTTATTTCAAATGTACTGTGTTCAAAATTCTAATTGAAATCGTTAATGTTATCATGCTCATCATGTGAGCCGAGCATGATGCGGCAAACGATCTCTAAACAATAACACGCGGATTACTAACCAACCACAACATAAGTAAACATGAAGCACGCGTGTCTCATCACGTGTTCGGGTAGAAGAACACCGAATTGTCACATCGTATCAAAAACATGATCGAAAAGGCTTCGTCCAATCGAAGGTCGATCAATCTATTCGTTCCGCTGAACAAAAAAAACCACGCGTTATATCGGTATATAAACTAGGTGCCTTGAGAGCACCAGAGACCGTTACAGAAACGTTAAGCGAACTCTCAGCGAGAGAGGCTTTTTCGATATTAGACCACGCTGTTCGGGTCTAATAGTTCGCGTATCTCGGCTCGCTACGGGTCAACCGTCCGTGCGAGACATCAATCTCACGATTTTCTTCATCTCGTTATGAGACATCTTTCGCGGCCTCGTGACTACTTCGCGAGTGATTGTCGGTTTATCAGTTAATTATAATTGTCATTTGAACGTTGTGATCGTCGACTGGAATCGTGTTGCGTCTTGTAACCGCGGTTGTGCGTGGCACACGACAAGGAAGAACTTCATCACGCCTCTTATTGTAAAGGACAGATCGTCATTCTATCGCGACAGAAGAATAAACCATTGCACAACCGCAGCTCGATTTCAAGAATTTCAATCACCACACCGATCCTTCCTTGCATTCCGTGCCCTGCGCTGGGCAGATCCAGCGGAGCATTGCACGCGAGAAAGCTAGTGCATTCGCTCACAAACATATTGCAATATCAATTGTTTAGTTATATAAATAAAATCGAAAGAATTTTGTGTATAAATACGTTTTATATTTAAAAAATTATACATATATATACAGTGGCAGACATATATTTACGTACAGTTAGGAAAATTAAATTTTATTTGGTGGTACTTACACATGAAATAGTTAAACAAAAGTCTATTACGTCTTTTACAAGTTTATAACATATATTATGAGATAAAAAACAATGTTCATCAATTTACTGTAACTAAGAAGTTTCTTGTGTTTGTTTACTCAAGCGTCATATTTTCTGCGGACACGTACTTACGTACACTGTGGTGATACACAGATAGATAAAAATTTCTGCAATGTAAACAATACTTATTAGTATCTACTGAGTAATGTAGGTAGAGAGACTTGTTGCGACAGTACTGTGATGAGCAAAGAATGTAACGCTAGAACAACGTCGACAAATATAGCAGCTTCGTAAAAATGGGAAGTCTTATCGGAAGATTTCTACAGAGCTTGGAATATGTATTATGGCATGTTATCAAGTTATATAACATATTAAACGTCATGGAACGCCAGATAATGTTTCTCGTAAAACTAGACTACTAAAAACCGACATAAAAACTGACGTAAGATTCTTCAATTATCTGAATCAAATAGATTTAACATTGCAGTTGATATTCACGCTGAAATCATCAGATCTGGATAAAAATATAAGTGTTAGAACTGTCCAACGTAGATTGAATGAATTTCAATTACATGGACGCATTGCTAGAAAGAAACCATTCATATCAGAAAAGAATCGCCGAGCTAGAATCGTTTTTGCAAAAGAATATTTAAACTGGATGCAACAACAACGGTCGCGAGTTATTTTTTCTGACGAATCTAAGTTTAATCGATTTGGATCTAATGGCAAAGTATATGTAAGACGTCGCATAGGTGAAGAATATCGCAAGAATTGTATAAAACTAACTAGGGTGGCGGATCAGTAGTCGTATGGGGTTCTATGACTTTTAATGGTACAGGTCCTATTCATCGAATAAAAGGAATCATAGACAGATTTACGTACTTGATCGTAGAAAATGTATTACTACTACTAAACTACAATTATACAGGGTTTGTCCGGAAAGTAATGCGTCGCATTTTTTTTAACGTTATTTATTAATCGCACAGGTACAACAACTTAAAATTCTTCGAAGTACGCCCCTTCAGCATCTATACATTTTGCCAGCGCGATTTCCATGAGTCATACGCTTTCTGGAACTCGTCGATTGTGATGCTGTTCAGGGCGGCCGTCGACGTAGCTTGCACATTGTCCACCGACTCCAGATGTTTTTCTTTAAGGGCCCTTTTCAGCCGAGGGAACAAAAAGAAGTCTGCGAGGGCCAAGTCGGGGCTGTAGGGCGGCTGCGGCACTGTTGCCACACCGATCCGGGTTAAGTATGTCGTGACAACAAAGGCGGTGTGCGCTGGTGCGTTGTCGTGGTGGAGTTTCCAATTTCCGCGGATCTCCGCGCAGACGCGGGCGACCCTATTCGTCAGTCTGTGAAGCACTTCCACGTAAAATTTCGCGTTGACGGTCTGGCCAGGGGGTACGAATTCACGGTGCACTATCCTCTTTGCATAAAAAAAAAACAATGAGCATTGACTTCACGCGGGACTCGCTCATGCGAGCCTTCTTCGGGCGGCGACGACGACGTGTGCCACTATGCACTCTGCCTCTTTGACTCCGGATCATATTGAAAGACCCACGTCTCATCCCCTGTGATAACGTTGCTTAGGAAATCGGGATCATCTGCGCAGAGGTGTTGGAGTTCTGCACACACTTCCACCCGATGTTGCTTCTGGAGATCTGTCAAAACTCTGGGCACAAGTTTTGCGCAAATCTTCTGCATGGCCAAGTCTTCCGATACAATCTCGTGCACAACCGTTTTCGGCAAGTTCAGTAGTTCAGACATTAAGCGAACACTCATTCGACGGTCTGAAAACAGTAGTTGGCGCACACGAGTCACATTGTCGTCCGTTCGCTATGTTGACGGGCATCCTGCGCGGGCCTCGTCTGCGACCTCCTCCCGACCATCTCGAAACACCTTGTGCCATTTGTTCGACTGCGATCTGGAAAGGCAATCATCTCCGAAGGCTTCCTGAAGCATTTCAAATGTTTCCAGCGGCGTCTTCTTAAGCTTCACACAAAACTGTATCGCATAGCGTTGCTTTAACGTTTTCTCTATGGTACCTTCGATGCGACCACTACGCAGAAGTTCCCGGAACAAGCCGTCCTATTCCTCCAAGCGCATGAAGGCAATTGAGCGACATACCACTAAAAAGCTACGGGTTTCCCCCACCCTCTCCAACCGGTCCGACCGCTCAGGGACGTACACTCGCGTCACAAAAAAATGCGACGCATTACTTTCCGGACAAACCCTGTATATATTATATATAGAATTGAATATTTAAAAAATATATTACAATAGTATAGTAAATAATATCATTTTTTAAATATTATTAATATTGCTCCCATTTGCTGAAGAATATATGCCGAAATAATGGATCTATCAAGCAGATAATGATCCGAAACACACAGCACGCATCGTCAAAACATTTTTAAACGACCGTAATATTGTTACGTCCTAGAGGTGAACGCAACACCCGCGCGTGTAGGCGCGTGCCCCAAACGTACCCGAAAGCCGGCGGTGCAAGTCAGAGACCGGAAGGGTCTCTTTACACTGATGCGAGCGTACGCAGGGTGGTCCTAATTTAGGTCAGGGCACCGAAGCCCTTTACCTGGGATGGGACCGCGAGCGGAGTAACTGGGGAAAGGGTAGTGAACGCGCGATGGTATTAAATAAAATGGGAATTTTAGAATAATAATTTCGATATTTATTTTACGTTTGCGTGTAACATTACAATATTGCGAGAGTGGTAAGATTACGAAATAGAACGGTGTACGGAGCGATTACAATACGGTGTGTGAATGTGTATACGCGTGTGTGTGTGTGTGTGTGGTTACAGGGAGTGTTTTAAGGGGAGGGCAATGAATTGGGAGTGGGAGG